GCTCATGCGCCATTCGCCCGGCGATAGCGATTATGACGATATCCAGCAGATCCGAACGAACTCAACCGCGCGGGCCAGCCTGACACGGCAGTTGCTCGCCTTCTCCCGCCAACAGACGCTGCGCCCGCAAATCCTGCAACTGCCGGACGTCGTGTCCGAAGCGGTCGAACCTGCTCAAGCGCCTGCTGGGCGAGCGTGTCCGTCTGGACGTCAGCCATGGCCGCAATCTGGGCCCGGTCCGTGCCGATCCGGGCCAGTTGGAGCAGGTGGTCGTCAACCCGGCAGTCAATGCGCGCGATGCGATCACGGAGAATGAGCTGGCGGGCGGCGGCATCCTGACCATCCAGACGCGTGCGGTGTCGATGGCCGATGTGCGCGCCATGGGCAACGATATCCTCGCCGGCGGCCGACTATACCGCGCTGATCATCAGCGACAACGGCACCGGTATCCCAGTGGAAATCCTGCCTAAGATCTTTCGAGCCCTTTCACGACGAAGGAGCTGGGCAAGGGACGGGCCTTGGCCTGTCGACCGTCTATGGCATCATCAAGCAATCGGGTGGCTATATCTTTGCTGATTGCCGCCGGGTGGGGGGCAAATTCTCCATCTATCTGCCGGTCCATGCCGTCCCCGCCGTGCCGGCTGCGCAACTACCCTCCGGCAAGCCAGTTTCATTGCGCGCGGTCGCGACCCCCGGGATCGGGAACGATCCTGCTGGTCGAGGATGAGGACATGGTCCGCGCGGTGGCCGAGCGGGCGCTGTCACGACAGGGCTATACCGTGCTGGCGGCTGAAAATGGCGAGGCGGCGCTCGAGATGCTCGACAAACATGGCAAGCCCGACCTGCTGATCTCCGGACGTGGTCATGCTGACGATGGACGGACCGACCGGTCGGGCTGGTGCAAGCGCTATCCGATCTCGCGGTGCTGTTCTATGTCGGGCTATGCCGAGGAGCAGCTGCGCAAGTCGATCACACTGCCCAATGTCGGTTTCTGCCCAAGCCCCTTCTCCGTCCAGCAATTGGCGGAGGCGACCCAGCGGCGCTTGCGCAACAACCGGCTGGCGGATGACGCAAACCATGTTATGGCAGGGTTGATGACAGAGCCCGTGCAAATCCTCATTGTCGAGGACGAACCCCTTATCGCCATGATGCTCGAGGATTTCTGGACGTCCTCGACAAACAGGTGGCGGGCACCGTCGACAGCGTCGATGACGCGCTCGCCCGTGTGGCCGAGGCGGTATCGATGCCGCGATCCTCGACGTCAACCTCGCGGCGGTCAGAAGAGCACTCCCGTCGCCGAAGCGTTGGCGGAGCGTGGCGTCCCCTTCGTATTCGCGACCGGCGGTCGGACGATGCGGTGGACGAGCGGTTCAAGGATCGGCCGCGACTGCAGAAGCCGCCTATTTGCGGACGGCGTGGCTAAGGCGCTGGGATCGCTCTGACGGCCGACGGGGCTCCGCAAAACGCGCCCACAACGTAATTTGCGAAATTTGGTTTTGCGTCAAAGGCCTGTCTGCGACATAGGCCTGCGCCATGACACGCCAATTCGACAAGTCCCGCCTACCGTCCCGCCACGTTTCCGTCGGGCCAGAGCGCGCCGCACCGCAGCTATTACTACGCCATGGGTATCCGGGAAGAGGATATCGCCAAGCCCTTCGTCGCGCTGGCGAGCGCGGGCAATACCCGGCACCGTGCAACACCACGCTCGATGCACAGGCCGATGCCGCGCAAGGGGGGCGTGATCCGCGGCGGTGGCATGCCGCGTCGGTTCAACACCATCACCGTCACCGACGGTATCGCCATGGGCCATCAGGGGATGAAGTCCTCGCTGGTCAGCCGCGAGGTGATCGCCGATCTGGTCGAACTGTCGGTACGCGGCCATTGCTATGACGCGCTGGTCGGTTTTGCGGGATGCGACAAGTCGCTGCCCGGCATGATGATGGCGATGCTTCGCCTGAACGTGCCTCGATCTTCGTCTATGGCGGTCGATCCTGCCCGGCCGTCATCACGACCGCGACGTGACCGTGGTCGACGTGTTCGAGGCAGTCGGACAGCACGCGGCGGGCAATTGCCCACCCACGACCTGATCGCATTGGAAAAGGTCGCCTGCCCGGGCCACGGCGCCTGTGGCGGCCAGTTCACCGCCAACACCATGGCCTGCGTTGGCGAGGCGATCGGCCTGTCGCCGCCCAACAGCAATATGATGCCGGCGCTCTTCCTCGACCGCCATGGCATTGCCGAGGCGGCGGGCGAGCAGGTGATGGAACTGGTCGCGCGCAACCTTCGTCCGCGCGATATCTGTACCTGTGAGGCGTTCGAAAATGCCGCGCGCGTCGTGGCGGCGACCGGCGGCTCGACCAATGCCGGCCTCCACCTGCCAGCAATGGCGAACGGGGGGGATCGACTTCGACCTGTTCGACGTCGCCGAGATCTTCAAGACCACGCCCATATCGCCGACCTCAAGCCCGGCGGCCGCTATGTCGCCAAGGATATAGAAGGAGGCGGGCGGCGTCTATATGCTGATGAAGACGCTGCTGGCGGGCGGCTATCTGCACGGCGACTGCATCACCGTCACCGGCAAGACCGCCGAGAATATCGACGAGGTCACCGGAACCCCCGACCAGAAGGTCATCTATGACGTGAAGACGCTGATCACGCCGACCGGCGGCGTCGTCGGCCTGCGTGGCAGCTTGGCGCCCGAGGGTGCAATCGTGAAGGTCGCCGGCATGAAGCGCCTTCAGTTCGATGGCATCGCGAAGGTGTTCGACTGCGAGGAAGAGGCGCGTTCGCCGCCGTCGAGGCGCGCGAGATCACCGACGGCACCGTGGTCGTCATCCGCTGCGAAGGCCCCAAAGGGCGGTCCCGGCATGCGCGAAATGCTGTCGACCACTGCCGCGCTCTACGGTCAGGGTCTGGGCGAGAAGGTCGCGCTGATCACCGACGGTCGCTTCTCCGGCGGTACGCGTGGTTTCTGCATCCGGCCATGTCGGCCCTGGAGGCGGCCGATGGCGGACCGATCGCGCTGGTCGAGAATGGCGACATCATCCGCATCGATGCCGAGGCGGGGACGATCGACCTCGACGTGGCAGAGGACGCTGGCCGAGCGTCGCGCACGTTGGATCCCTGCGGGTGAACGATTACCAGTCCGGCGTGTTGTGGCGTTATGCTCAGAATGTCGGCCCGGCGCACCAGTGGCGCCGTCACCCATCCCGGCGCCAAGCACGAGCGCCATGTCTATGCGGATATCTGAGTCCGTCTATCTGGGCTGGGCGCTGGCGCTGGCCGGATGTTCCGGGGGACAAAGGAGCAGTCCGGCGAGGGTGCCACGGCGACGGCAGCGGCACAGAAGCCCGGGCTGCCGATCGAATGCGCGCTGGGCGGTCACGCAGGTTTCCGCCGGATTGCACGGTCGAGCAAAGCGCGGAGGTGAGGCGGTCGTGCTGACCGTCCGGCATCCGGATGGCGGTTTCCGGCGGCTCCGTGACGCCAGGATGGTCGCGGGGTGGCGGCGGCCGATGGGGCACCGCCGGCGGTCGTCGGTGGAGGGCGACAAAGCAGATCGGCGTCGCCGTGGGAACCGATCGCGCACGCCCGCCCGCGACCGTCAACGCCCGATGATCCTGATCGACGGCCAAGTGGTCTTGACCGCCAAGGCCATGCGCGCGGCAGAACAGGTGCTGTCTGATGGCGGCATGCGGAAACCGCCCTGATGCAGCGCGCTGGCGAGGCCGTGGCGCAATCGGTGGCGCGCTTACGGGCCGGGCGAGAGGTTCTGGTCTTTATGGGCCGGGCAATAATGGCGGCGATGGTTGTGGCGGCGGCATCCTCCGCCGTCAGGGGACTGCCGGTGCGGGTGACCGCGAGCGGCGAGCCCCGCAGCGAGAGCGGACGCTGGGCCCGCAGCCTGTGGGAAGGCGGCATAGAAACTCTGGATACCGCCGGTCCGGCACCCGTCCCCGGTCGACGCGCTGTTCGGCACTGGCTTTTCGCGTGCCTTTGACGGATCGGTACAAGCCGCCCTGTCTTCGGCTGGCTTTGGCGGCTGGCTGGCGCATCGCGGTCGATCTGCCCAGCGGTGGCGACGGATGATGGCCAGCTTCTGGGCGAGGTCCCCTGCTTCGACACGCGTCACGTTGCGGTGCCGTGAAGCCTGCCCACCTGCTGCAACCCGCCGCGCAAAAAAATGGGGCATGTCCGTCTGCTCGACATCGGCGTTCCGGTCGATGGCGGACCCGCAACCGCCAAACCATGGCTGCCGGAGCCGAAACGCGGCGTCGCACAAATATAGTCGCGGACTAGTCACGATCGTTGCAGGGGGCCATGTCCGGAGCGTCGAAGCTTGCGGCAACCGCTGCCCTGCGGGCGGGTGCGGGCTATGTGCCCATTTGAGCGAAAGCGACGGCAAGCCGGCCATCCCCATGCCATCGTCCGGCGGGACTATAGCGCCGACGTTTTGATGGACGATCGAATCGGCGCGATCGTGGTCGGTCCGGGTCTGGGCCGCGATAATGTGGCCCGCGCCTGTGGGGGCGGCGCTGGGCAGCGGGCGACCTCTGGTCATTGATGGCGATGCGCTACGGCTGGTCGATGCGGATGCGCTCGGCGAGCATATCGGCCCCAAGATACTGACGCCGCATGGCGGTGAATTCACGCATCTGTTCGGCGACGCGACCGGTGCCAAAACGGACCAGACCTCCATGCCGCAGAACGGACCGGTGCCGTCGTCGTCCACAAGGGCGCTGATACCGTCATCGCCGCACCCGATGGCCGCACCATCCCTCTGTCCGGAAGCTAATGTTCGGCTGTCGACCGCCGGCACAGGCGATGTGCTGGCGGGCGCTATCGGCGCGATGATTCGCCGCCGGGCTCGAACCCCGGCGGCGGCGGAGGCCGGGGTGTGGCTTCATGGCGGGCCGCCTGTCGCTGCGGCCGGGCATCATCGCCGACGACTTGGTGACGCGCTTTCCGCCGTCAGAGGCTGGACGCCATGAGCGATATCATTATCCGCGTCGCGCGCGTGGCGACGGCGTGACCGGAAAACGGGCGTCATGCCGCATTTGCCGCCCCGGCGACACTCCTGTCCGCCGACGGCGTTGCCGTGCCGGGCCTGCACCATCAGACGCCGCCCTGCGGTCATTTCCCGCGCTGTGGCGGATGCCAGCGCCCAGCATCTCGACGATGAAAGCTATGCGGGGCTTCGTCACCGACCGGATCGCCTCCGCCCTCGACGCGCAAGGCTGACGGCGCTGCTGCGGCCGGCGCATCTCTCGCCGCCACGCAGCTGCCGCTGCGCGACCCTCCATGCCGAAACCAAGGGCGGCTGCGTCCTGATCGGCTTTTCGGAGAGAAGAGCCACGCCATCGTCGATATCGTCGAGTGCCATATCCCGCCCCCGAGCTCTTTGCGCTGGTCGCGCCGCTGCGGGGGCTGCTCCAGCGGTTGGGGTCTGCGGGCGTGGCGACGTCCATCTGACGCTGGCTGATCAGGGCGCCGATATTCTGGTCACGAGCTTTTTCGCCCGATGGCCGAGGCCGCCGAGGCGATCATCGGTTTCTGCGAGCGTCACGGGGTGGCGCGTTTCGCGGTCGATGACGGAATGGGCCCTGAGACCCGTTGGGAGCCCGAGCCGGTGACGATCACCCTCGGCGGCGTCGGCGTGCCTTTTGCCCCCGGCGCTTCCTGCAAAGCGACGTGACGGTGAAGCTGCGCTGGTGGCGGCTGTCACCGAAGCGGTCGGCAATCCCCGCACGACGGCCGACCTGTTTGCCGGTCTCGGCACCTTCGCACTTGCCTTTGCCGGGCAAGGTCTATGCTGCCGAGGGTGCGCGCGACGCTATCCTGTCGCTGAGCGGGGCGGCCAATGCTTGCGGACGTGCGGTTTTCGCCGAGCATCGCGGGACCTTTATCGCCGGCCGCAATTGCTGGCGGAACTCGATCGCTTTGATGCGATCGTGTTTCGATCTGCCGCGGGCCGGCGCACGCGATCAGGTTGAGGCGCTGGCCAGCGCGGCCGTCGGTGCGGTGGCCTGGCGTCGTCGTGCAACCTGTCGAGCTTGCGGACGACGCGCGGATGATGGTCGATCAGGGTTGGTCGCTCGAATGGGTGCAAACTGGGGGGCAGTTCTGGCTGGTCGACCCATGTCGAACTGGCGGCGCGCTTTCGTGCGTCAGCTCGTCGGGGTAACCGCCCGGACGAAGAACAGCCCGTCGGATGGCGTTGAGGCCGAGCTGCGCCCGGTCCCGCGCCACCAGTGCCGCCCGGACATCATCCGGCGTCCAGCGCCCCGGCGCCGACCAGCGCTGTGCATCCCACCATCGACCGCACCTGATGATGGAGGAAGAGAGGCGGCGGCGGCACGGATGAACAGCTGCGCGCCATCGCGCTTCCACCGATAACAGGTCGAGCGTCCGCACCGGACCGTCCGCCCGGCAATGGACCGAGCGAAAGGTGGTGAAGTCGTGTCGTCCGACCAGCCGCGCGGCGGCCGGCCATGGTTGCTTCGGGTCCAGGCCTGCGGCACCTGCCACGCCAACCCCAGTTCATGGGTCAGTGGCGCGCGGCGGCTGACGATGCGATACTCGTAGGGACCGGCGGATGCAGGAGAAGCGCGCGCACCGCTGGCGACTTCGACGCACCGAGCACCGCGACGGGGGGGGGCGAATGCGCGCGTTGATGGCCTCCATCAGGCGGAAGGGGCGATCACCTTTGGCGATATCGACATGCGCGCGCATCGCCAGCCCGGGACGCCGGCATCTCGCCGGCGGCATGGATTGCGGTGCGCTCGCCCGTGACGGCGTGGGATGGCATCTTCCAACGCTTGTTGCACACTGGGGTTATGCGATTGGCGCTGCCAGCCCATAAAGGGCCGCCCGTCAAATTCGACCGTCAGCGCAAACGGGTCAAAGCTGCGTCCCCGCCGGGATGGCGAAACCGCGCAGCAACTCGGCACTCGATACGCCACGCCCGGGCGCGCTGGACGGTCACAGGGCGGAGGGGCACCCTCCGCGCCGGCGATGGTCGCGGTCGTCCAGCACCTCGCCGGGTTTTCGCCTGATGCCCGACCGCTGGCGGTGAGGATCTGATCCGCTCGGCCTTCATGCTCGAACCAGCCCCGGCGCCGGATTGAAGGCGCGGACCCGCGTTCCAGCTCGATGGCCGGCTTGGTGAAGTCTAGCCGCGTCTCAGCCTTTGTCGATCTTGGCGGGCATAGGTGATGCCTCTGGCTGAGGCCGGGGGCGGATAGCGCGTGGGTCTTCCAACACGCGACCATCAGGCGCGCGCCCATCGCCGCGAGTTCGTCGGTCAATCCACCCGTCGTCTTGCGCCCGATCGGGTGGAATCCTCCAGCCGCACTGGACCGGTATCGAGCCCGGCTTCCATCTGCATGATGCCGACGCTGGTCACCGCATCGCCTGCCAGATCGCCTGCTGATCGGCGCGGCCTCGCCAACGCGGAGCAGCGAGCCATGGACGTTGAGGCAGCCCAGCCGGGTGCATCCAGATCGCGCGCGGCAGGATCAGGCCATAGGCCGCCACGACCGCCCATCGGCCCCTGTGCCGCGACGCCGCCGTTCCTCCGGCCCCCGTAGCGAGATGGGCGTGAACACTGGAATGCCCAGTCGCTCGGCGGTCTGCTGCACCTGGGGGAGGCGACCAATTGGCGCCCCCTGCCGCCCACCGGGACGCGGCGGCTGGCTATAACTCGCGACGATGCCGCGGCCGGCCCCGGCCAGTGCTTCCAGAACCGGGACGGCAAAGCCCGGCGTGCCCATGAAGATGATCCGCATGGGCTTCAGCCTCTGCGCTGGCGGGACGGCGCGCAACCCCCCATCTGTTCCTCATGGCATCCCCGAGATCGAGGCGTTGGACCCAAGCGCTCGCGCGCCCCCGGCCCAGGCCCCTGATCGGCCCGGCGCGTGTTCTTCACCTGCTCAAGAAGCGCGAGGCGGCGCTGGCACTTCAAGGTTCGCGCTGGCGGCGGTAAAGAGCGGCTGGAGACCTGTTCGACCTGCGGCAATATCGACACCGCCAATCCGTGCGCGATCTGTGCTGATCCTCGCCGCGATCCAGCGGCTTTTGCATCGTCGAGGAGGTCGCCGACCTCTGGGCGCTGGAACGGTCGCGGTTGTTTCCGGGCGTCCATGTGTTGGCGGACGGGCTTCCGCGCTGGACGGCGTACGGCCGAGGACCGGCGATCGACGCGCCTGTCCGCCGGATCGAGAAGGCGCCATCGACGAGATCGTGCTGGCGATGAACGCCACGCTGGAGGGGCAGACGACGGCCCATTATATCGCCGAGCGGATCGAGCGTTTCCCGGTGCGGGTGACGTAGCTGGCCCATGGCCTGCCGGTCGGCGGCGCGAGCTCGACCATTCTGGACGAGGGGACTCGGCGCAGGGCGCTGCGAGCGCGGCGCCCGGTGGTATTAACGACGCTGGTCTGACGCCCGGCTTGACGCTTTTTGCCTTGCGCTGTAGCGACACGCCCATGGCCATTCTTCCGATCGTCGAAGTTCCTGACCCCGTCTGCGTCTCGGGTTCCAAGCTGGTCGAGGCGGTCGACGATCCGGTCCGTCAGCTCGTCACCGACATGATCGACATGTATGACGCCCATGGCATCGGCCGGCGGCGATCCAGTGTCATGTCGACAAGCGGGTGCTGGTCATCGATCTTCAGGAAGAAGAGGATGAGGAAGGCAAGCTGGTCAAGAACCCCAAGGCCTATATCAATCCTGAAATCCTGTCGGTCAGCGAAGAGCTGTCGACCTATAACGAAGGCTGTCTTTTCGATCCCCGAGCAATATGCCGAGGTGAAGCGGGCCGGCGCGGTGCTGTGTCAAGTGGCTGGACGAAAAGGGCGAGGCGCATGAAGCCGAGTTCGACGGCCTGCTCGCCACCTGCATGCAGCAGCATGAGATGGACCATCTGAACGGCGTGCTGTTCATCGATCGCGTCAGCCGGCTGAAACGCGACATGCTGATGCGCAAGCCTCCAAGATCCGCAAGGGCTGAGGCCCCTCTGCCGAATAGGCCTGTTCGCGCGCGCCTGTTCGATCGGCGTTCCGACCTGTTGGTTGTTTTGACAGGTTGAGATAATGCCCGGAATTGATCGCCGTCGCGATATTGGCGCTGGTGCTGGGGGGGACTGTCGGGTGGTTTGCCGCGCGGCGCAAGGCCGGATGGTCTTGTTGCTGAGCTGGCCACCGCCAAGGGCCCGTGCGGGAAGTGCAACCGCTGCGCGCCGCGCGCGATGCTGCCGAGCGCGAGCGGAGCGATGCGCTTCAGGGCGCTCGCCGAACTGTGCGGGCGGGCGGCCGATCTCGATGTGATCCGGGCGGCGCGGGATGCAGAGGCCGAGCGTAATGCGAGCTGCGCGAGCTCGCCGAACTCCGGGCACGGGGCGCAGGGAGCGTGAGGCGGCCCCAGCGGCCAGACGCTTCGAGGCGCTGGGGCCAGCGCGTGAGCAGAACACCCAGTTCGGCGAGGCGGCGGCCTGCGCGCTTAAGTCGCGCAGCGCCAGTTTCGAACGCGCCGAGGCCCGGTTCCGTCAATGGAAGAGTCATCGCAGACGCTCCGCGGCTCCTGTTTCGATCCGGTGCACCAGCGGTTGCAGCGCTACGAGGAGGGAGTCCGCAAGGTCGAGGACGAACGCCGCGACGCCTTTGGTGAGTTGAAGGGCCAGATCGAGGCGATGCGGGATCGGGCAGGAACGCGTCTCGGCGAGGCGGCTGCTGTTAATGTGCTGCGCAACGCCCCCAAGGCGCGCGGGCGTTGGGCGAGCAGCAGCTTCGCAACGTGCTGGAAAGCTGTGGCCTGTCCGAACATGCCGATTTCCAGACCGAGGTCAGCGTCGCGGATGGCGAGGGGGTCGGCTCCGTCCCGATGCGATCGTGCGCGTGCCGGGCGGCAGGCGCTGGTGATCGACGCCAAGGTGTCGCTCAACGACTATCAGGACGCGTTCGGTGCGGTCGATGAGGTCGAGCGCCCGGCGGGCCTTCCCGCCACACGCCGCGGCGATGCGCGCGCATGTCAACGGCCTGGCAATAAGAGCTATTGGAACCAGTTCGACGACGCGCCTGACTATGTCATCATGTTCGTGCCGGGCGAGCATTCCTGTCGGCGGCGTTGAGCATGACCCGACGCTGTGGACTTCGCCTTCGACAAACGGTGCGCTCGCGACCCCGACCAACCTGATCGCGATCGCGCGGACCGTGGCGGCGGTGTGGCGGCAGGAAAGCTGGCAGGAAGCGCGACAGATCGGTGCGCTGGGCAAGGAGTTCTGGCGCCCGCCCGGCGGTGATGGGCGGCTGTGTCGAAGCTGGGCAAGAATCCGATACGGCGATGACCGCCTTCATAACGCCTTTTGTCGGCAGCCCGGAGAGCCGGGGTGCTGACCAGCGCGCGGCGGTTCGAGGCGCTGAATATCGATACCGGGCAAGGCGATCGAATCGCCGCCGATCGGCGAACAGGCG